GAAGAGAAATCTGAGGAGGAGGTAGCTGCTGTCTCTCAGCTTGTCCTTTATGCTATTATCCATCAAGTGTGTGACTTTGTGCTTGTTTTCCATTTGAGCTAATCACACCCTTCTTCCTTCTGGCCGATTAGATGATAGCACGGACCTGTCAGCCATGAAGATAGCATCTCTTTATCACTTTCTATTTTCGCCCTTCTCTCTCTTCTCTCAGTCATTATCTACTAGAAAATCATTCTCTTCTTGTTAACACCCTGGCAGTGCGTCTCTCTCCCCCCTCTATTTTTTCTTTATCCTTCTGAGAAAAGAAGGTTACCAGAAAAGCAGCAATTCTCACTTCTTCATTTTTTTTATCCCTTTCTACCCTCTCACTCTTTTTTACCTTTCTCTTAGTCTGTCCGTCTCTCCCGTCCTCGACAGGTTCAGCTCATTCAGGGAAAAAATGCCACCCCCACCCCCACTAGCCCCACCTCCCCTACCGCTCCCACACCAGCAGCCGTGAGCCCCGGAGAGGAGGTGCAGATGACCTGGACGGACAATACGGAGAAGCCCAATAACCCAGCAGTGGCCAACCCTGAAAGCATAAAGGATATGTTCAACATGAAACCGTGAGTCAAGATAATGACGGTCTGTACTGAGTATGTATTGTATCAGGTGAATACGAAAGCTTTTAACGAATCAGAAATGAGATTTAAGTTATTAAGGAAATGTTCAGTCAATCAACGTATTATTCTGTTCGTTGAGGGTGAGGTGTTAGTCAAACCTTTGCATAAAGATGCATCGACACTGATTTTAACAACAAAACAACAGGATAAGATATTTTGCTTATTATACATTTGATTATGGAACACCAGATCAATGTATTGACACTTTAATTTAACAAAACTTAATTACAGCCCCACAGAGATGTGCAAGAGCTATTTTCAATGTCACATTTAGGTATTTCCAGTCACTGAGCATTGTTCACTGATCAATGTAAATCGATCAGTTAGTTGGATGTATAACAAGCCTACAATGAAAGACATAATGAAAGAAAATAGTAGTAATTATTTTCATCATAATTAGTATACATTTATAATAATTTAAATAATTATTAATTTCATAATTTATTTAAATGATATATTTATAATATAAATCATTTGTAATTATTATTTAATATTTATTTTATTAAAATAAAAATATATAAAAACATACATTATGTAAAACAAAATTACAATGTTTTTTTCTTGCATATTTGCAGCAAACATCAGTAATGTAAGTTAAACTCTACTCTGAAACAGAAACACTTTTGTCATCATTAGATTTATTGTAGCACTTGCATTCGTTTCAGTTGCTTAGCTCACTTAAGGGAAAAAAAACAGTGAGAATCGTTTTTTGACACCCAACACAAAAAATTAATAGAAATCAGTGAGACATGACACAAAAGCTAACGATATTTGTCTAATGTGTATAAAAACCATCCAACCTACTTATAGTTTTAACTTGATCAGTAATCATCTGAGAAATATTGCTTTTTGTATTCTTTTGGTGCATCCCTACATTTGAACTTATGGTTAAAGTCAAATTTGTAGTGTGCTACTGTATTTGTGTTGTTCTCTATTCACTGTGTTGTTATTTTCCTTCGTTTATGCCTCAGGGAATGGGAGAACCTGTGAGTACACTTTTAAGATAACACTAATGCTACTTCATTTGATACCTTCTGATTATTTTAAAAGATGGCGCACTTAATTATCACATATAAATGTGCGCTTCACATCTGCTAAATATGTAGTCATATAAAGAAACCATCACACTCACAAAAAAGTCTTTGCAATGTGGTGTTTCATACAGGAACCACTCCAATGTCAGACGCATGCACCACGCACAGAAACTCAACGAGGTCATTGTGAAGAAGTCCCAGGAAGCTAAACTAGTCCTGCTAAACATGCCTGGACCTCCTAAGAACTGCACTGGAGAAGAGAACTGTATCCTTTTTTCATCTAAATATCTGTGACTTCAGACTTTTTTTTACAGTTTGTGCTCTCATGTAAATGTGAAAGTTCGCTTCTTAACTTCATTCACACAGACATGGAGTTCCTCGAGGTCTTGACTGAGGGTCTCAACAGGGTCCTCCTCGTGCGTGGAGGTGGACGTGAGGTCATCACTATCTACTCTTGAGGGGCTCAGCTCAACCGCCAAATATTCCTCACCCCTCGTCCCCCACTACATAGATGGAACGTCCCAGTGACCCCAACCTACACCATGAGCAATAACGCCCCAGCACATATCAGATGACTTTGCACTACATAGTCTAAAAAGACACCAGCTTGGTAGATGTCACTTCTTCCACATGATTAAGTTCTATCCCTCTATCTATCTCTCAATCTTCCTCTTATTGGCTCAGTTCTCACCTCATAAACTCAACAGCTTATGTCACACACAGATCAGTAAATGATTGAGTTGGTCTTTTCTGACTAATTTCCAAAAGCCCATGTTCTCCAGTGGCACCTGACCAAATACTCTGATCCAACTTCTCTTTATTTAATATTATATATCATAACAATACTTTTAAGGGACAGTCACACTGGATTTTAAACATGCAAAACCACTGTATTTTTGGTGGGCAGTTCAAAACAGTCCATTTTAAATGTCAAAATGTGGCATTTGTTCTGATTCATCCAGCTTTCTTTAAAAGTTTGTTTTTATCTAAACTTGTATTACGCGGTCTTTCAAAAGTTGGGGGTTAGTACGATTTTAAAATGTTTTTGAAAGTTTATTTTGCTTACCAAGGCTGCATTTATTTGATGGAGAAAAAACTGTAGTATAAGTACTATTTAAAATAACTGTTTTCTATTTGAATATATTTTAAAATGTAATTTATTCCTGTGATGCAAAGCTAACTTTTCAGCATCATTAACCCAGTCTTCAGGGTCACATGATCCTTCAGAAATCATTCTAATATGCCGATATGCTGCTTAAAAAACATTTCCTATCATTATTATCAATGTTAAAAAGAGTTGTGCAGCTTAATATTTTTGTGGAAACCATGATAATGTTTTTCAGAATACTTTGATGAATAGAAAGTTCAAAAGAACAGCGTTTATTTGAAATATATGGGTTTTTTATTATTTAAAAGTCAAAATAAAAGAGTTAATTTCTTAAAAAAAAAAAAAAAATCTCTCCAACCCCAAACCTTTGAATGGTAGTGTATATAGAACAAGATTATGAAAAATCCCTAAACTGAGAGTTTCCTCAATATCAATATGATATTTAAATCCTCTATTGGTCAAACATTTTATAGATATTCTAATAGGCAGCTCAAAGTCCACCAGATTATTATTCTTCTGTGTTTGTTTGCATGTGAATGAAAGTATGGAAGTGAATGAAACTCCAAATCTAGTGTGACCTTCCCTTTATGCTTTATATTTTGTTCCTATACTGTCTCTCCATTGTTTCATTACTTGTCATAGGTGGAATCTTTCTTTGTTGAAAACAAGTCTTCCAGTGTACCGCGTAAATGTCCGAGGTGTGTTTTTACACCAAGGACAGAACTGACCAGGGTTTAATGTGAGCCAGGTGTAAGCACTTCTGGATCAATGACTATCAGCTTTGCCCTTGACCATCTGCATGTCCTCTGACTACATCAGCCTTTTAAGAATCATATATACTGTACAATATGAGAGGGCTGAACCGTGTGTGTGTTTGTACAAGAGTAGATTCAAAGGGGTTTTATAATATTAGAAGAGGGTTTGAAGGCTGTGTTCCTTTCACAAATATGTGTTCACTTAAAATAGCATCAGCAGACATGCATTATATTGCTCAGTCACACACGTGTACATACTGTGAAGAGAGTCTAAACAGAACTGCTGTATAATGGAAAACCCATATACAGCTCAAATATTCCATGAAAATATAATCCTGAATAATCTCGTTTAATAGTAGAATCACATATATATTAAGGGAATGTAAATAGAAAAGAATTTGTATTTATATTTCAAATATTTATTTACAAAGAAAATTATTTATTCATCCAGCAATTTCTGATTGATTGTAAACATGGTATTTACATCTCTTGCCAAATCACTAAATATAAACCGTGCCATATGATAATTTAAAAAAAAAGCGAACAAATTTTCGCATTTTCATATACAAGAAACGGACATTAAAACATATCATGCGTCTGATATTACCAGTTACTTTATAAAGCAGATGCAGTTTTATCATCCTTTTTCACCAAATCAAATTTGTGAACAAAAGCATATTTTAACTGCATAGTATTTTTAAATCATATCTAATGTTTGTCATGAATGTTGGAAATTTTCGTTTATTTTTACATTTGTAAAGACGACACTAATTTGCTACATTTAAGCAGCATCTGTGAGCGACTGATGCCGACTGTTCAATTCACGAGCAAGAGCATATTATTTAGTTCATGTGTGGTAGAAATAGAAGATATCAAAAAATAATACATTTATCTAAAGAACTATTTTATTTAATTTTTTTGCAAAATTGCAACGATGAAAAAAGAAATATATTAGATTACTGAATAGACTAGTAAAATATCGTCTTGTGTAACTGTGAGACTTAAAAAAGGAAAATAACTAACTGTATGTTTTAAAATTTTAAATCAAATTGTGCTGATGTTGCTGCTACCGTCATTAAAATGTAAATAGATTGCACTCCGCCAAAACATAAGACTGAAAACAAAAGAACAAAAAATGCAATATTTATAGATTTGTTGCATTTAAATCGAACGTGTATTGTATAAGTGTACACCCAAATTAGCTACAAGTAATTTTTCACATGATGTTTTACAGGGTTTCGAGTACTACAGCTAGACAGGAAGTACTTTACTGGCAAAACGTCTCAAGATAGTTTGTCAAAATGCCACCATCAGTCTGTCCTAATACTATTCAAGCATACCTCATACATTATCATGTCAAAGTTCACACTTGTAGTAGAAAGGTAGTGTGTAAAGGTTGTGGTGTATAAGTTCATAAAAGTGATATTTAACTAAATTGTTGTTTGCGAAAAGAATTTGAATTCTAGCTAAGTACGTTTTCTTTATCAGTATTCTAGTTATGCTCAGAACCAACTGATCTTTTTTTAAATCCAAAACAGGAATTGCAAAGTGCTACCTGTCATAATTCTTCCAAGTTTATTGCTTATGTTTCTAGCTAAAATAATAATCTTATCTAAAGGAACTTTTGCATTGCTGTACGTTGGAATTTACAACACAAAATAGGAGTTTGGCTTGTTTGGAGTCCTATGCAATTACAGTTTAGTTCTTTGAGGGTCTAAAACTACTTTCTACTGAATTGTTTATAGTGGTACTATTAAGTATTATAGATTGAAATCAGAGCTTCCGTATCTGCCAGGGTGACTTGCAGTTCGATGAGAACTTTCCACATTATTTAAAGTCATGCAAAGGCAAACATGCTGGGACAATGTCGCGATTAAGCCATATTGGCTGCGTGCTGTTGGATACAGAGGTTTCACTCTGCGGCTGATGATGATGATGATGATGTCCCATTCATCATGAAGTATAGAATATCTGATTGAATTCACATTGATGCAAAGGGCTTTTCAATATCATTTTATCAGATTTGTCTTATCCTTCCCCAAGGCTGAAGACATAAAGAAGTGTCATAAACCTTATGCTGTATAGCATGTCATTCCTTATCTTCCCTTGAAGGGGCAGTAAACTCGAAAGTCACCCCAAATTGGCCAAAGCGTAACTAGAAATAAGCACTGTGAAAATTCAAAGTTAGTTTCTTTCTCACATATCCACATTCAGTCAGTTTTATCTTTATTTCATGTCCTTGCTATGGAGCACTGTTGTAGGAAACATCTTTAGAATGTGTATAGATTAATCATAATGCTTTTTTATGCAACGCTGACTTGTAAGAATCCTGCAACAGTGGTACTAGTCGACTAACAGGGCTTATAAAATAACCAGCGAGCTGAATTTGAAATCGCAGGTGTTTCAGAAGGTGCTAATGATATTTGTAAGTGATCGCTGAAGCGGCGTGTATGAAAACGTTCCAGTGCATTATTGAGAACGCTGACTTGTATGGAATGAGCTATTTAGCCAGACTTGAAGTTAATCAAGGGAAAAGAAGTTGCCACAGTTGATTTATCATGTTGTATTGGGATATACGCTCTAAAAAATAAAGGTATTGGCATCAGTGGTTCCGTGAAGAACCTTTAAAGGAATTATTTGCCAAAAATTTGATGAAAATTTACTGACAGACCCTCAGGCAATTCAAGTTGTCGAGGAGTTTGTTTCTTGTTCAGAACAGATTTGGAGAAATTTAGCGTTACATCATTTGCTCATCAGTGGATGCTCTGCAGTGAATGGGTGCCGTATATCCACATTCAGTCAGTTTTATCTTTATTTCATGTCCTTGCTATGGAGCACTGTTGTAGGAAACATCTTTAGAATGTGTATAGATTAATCATAATGCTTTTTTATGCAACGCTGACTTGTAAGAATCCTGCAACAGTGGTACTAGTCGACTAACAGGGCTTATAAAATAACCAGCGAGCTGAATTTGAAATCGCAGGTGTTTCAGAAGGTGCTAATGATATTTGTAAGTGATCGCTGAAGCGGCGTGTATGAAAACGTTCCAGTGCATTATTGAGAACGCTGACTTGTATGGAATGAGCTATTTAGCCAGACTTGAAGTTAATCAAGGGAAAAGAAGTTGCCACAGTTGATTTATCATGTTGTATTGGGATATACGCTCTAAAAAATAAAGGTATTGGCATCAGTGGTTCCGTGAAGAACCTTTAAAGGAATTATTTGCCAAAAATTTGATGAAAATTTACTGACAGACCCTCAGGCAATTCAAGTTGTCGAGGAGTTTGTTTCTTGTTCAGAACAGATTTGGAGAAATTTAGCGTTACATCATTTGCTCATCAGTGGATGCTCTGCAGTGAATGGGTGCCGTCAGAATAAGAGTCCAAAC